AGCTCAGTGTTCTTCCTTTTCATTCTGAACCAAATAGCTTTTTTCTGCTTAAGAAAAGAAAAGGGGATGTAATGTAAATTTTAATATGATCCTTTCCCCTTTTGGAGAGATCTGTTTATGTGGCTCTTGTAAAGTATTGTAGTCATTTGTATAGTCCTGATGAAAAATGTGAAAGATATCCCTCTGGCTATTTAATAACCAATCAGGATCTTCAAAATACTCTCTGCTTCTCCTCAGCCACAACTGAGGATAATATATATTTTGTTAACCTACGAGGATAGCAGCTGGTCAGGAGAACTTGTTATCATATTGCATTGATAAGGAAAGATTGAAATAGTTAAGAATTAGTTGTCACAAAAGTTTCAAGTGAACCTGCAGCAATAATACAATTTCAACAACAATCTTAATAAACTGTCCTAAATAAAATCCAAAGAGTTATTGTCTTGAAATAATTTTATATTCTTTAAAATGAAATCTTATATTTGTAATATATAAATGTTTAAAATATAAATATTTATATATACCGGTAAATATAAATATTTAATATATTATTTGAAAAAACATAGTAATTAACATAGATAAAATTGATATGCACAAAAGTAAACATGCCTATAAACAGTATCTCTTAAAACAATACTTTTGAAAACATTCTATATATAAAGTATACCTTTTATACAGGTTGGTATAAGAATACTTTTTAACTCTTATCACTGAAAGTAGTTTTTTTAATAGTATTACTTCGATAACATTTTTTATATTTTTTTATCTCTGTATCTATTTGTTATAACATTCAGGGCATTTGAATATACCATAGAGAATTTGACAAGATCTCTAGTTTAGCCTAGGAGAATCAGTAAGAACCGGTAAGAAGAGCCAAAAGATCAGCATGGGCTCAATTATGGTAGGTGCTGGTTTTGGCAGATTATTATTGTAATTCCAAGGAAACTATGGCTTTGGTGGATGAGGAAAAATGATTTAGATGATGAAACTGTGAGGAGAAAGTAAACTCAATGCATTGGAAAGTTGACAACATACCGTACTAATTCCCCCCACATTGTTAGGATAACATTTATAGGAGGCAATGCGACTACATTGGTTTAACTATAATTTTTGTAATTATTTTAATCAAGCTAATTACCCCAAAACCAGTGTATTTCTAGATTTTTCTGGTTCTTGTATTGCTCAAAACAAATTGCTGTATTTATTATTTATCACCTTGGTTATTTTGCATATTTTTACATTATAATTCTGGCAAAAAGAATGGTTTATAGTATGCTATGCAATTAATTATTTCCTTTCTTTAAATTCCCACCTGTATTAAGTGACTTTTTGTATATGCTTTTAATTCTCGTTCTTTAAAAATTAAAAGAAAGACCCCTCTTATAACAATCCCACAGAGTCCACCTGAATACATTTACAAGCTTACAAGCCTGACTAGAGGGTACTGGCACTCTTCTGCTTTTACTTCTCAGCAGTGAATAAATAAGGCATGTTTCCCATGATTTAGAAGGTAGTAAAAAGCCAATATTCATAGTCATTAATAGCACGATCATTTATGAACATATCCAATCCCCTTTTAAAATTGTACAAATATGCTATTACTACCACAACAATTGGCATGGAATCCTAAAGCGTGTGTGCTATGTAAACATTTATTCTGCTAGTTCTGAATCTGTCTGCATTTAGTTTCAGTGGAATATATTCTTCCATCCATTCCCATTATTTATGCCATGCATAAATTTGTATATCTCTATCATGCCTCCCCTTACTATTCTTTATTCTTTGATAAAGTTCAAAGATGCTGTAGTCTTTCCGTGTAGGGCAGCTGTTCCATTTTCCTAATAATTCTGAATGCCATTTTATTTCTTTTTTAATGTCTATAAGAATTTTATAAAGTGCAATAATAAAAAATAATTACTTCAGGAATGAGTCAGCTGAAGTAAAATAATTAGATTCAAATACAAATCCTAGTGTACACAATTTTATAGCTTAAGGACAGGAGGGAAGGGGCCATTCTGATGTCTGATAGCATGTTCTTCAAGATAGTGGAATTTCAACTGAAAATGCATGTTTCAAGGTCCTTTCCTCATGGTGATCTCTTGGAGTATGACCTGGAGTAAGCCTACACTTCTTGATCTTATTGGGCAAGCAGATGTTATTGAGAGAAAATGGTTCCACAGACATCCAAGTCTGGAACCATCAGTACTTAAAAAGTGACAAGCACCACCTTGAATCGCACATGGAAGCTAACTGGTATCTGATACTTCTTTAGAAGTAGAGGTAATATATGACATATCAAGGAAAACTGATGTGCAATCTGTTACATCATTTTAAAAATTAGTTTTCTATAAAAGCTGTTTTATTAGAGGATTTTTGTGACTGTTGAAATAAAAAAGTATGTTAATCAGTTAAGTCATCTTGTCTCCAAAGGATATTTGAAATCAAGTTGAAGAAAGCTATAAACACATCTAGTAGGGCTGTCAAGAATATTCAAAAGCAAAGCAACACACACAGCACATACGATGTATCACTTTTGAAACAGAATAATTTTATCATTTCCAGATTCATGTTTCTCTTTAGAAGTTCTTCAAAGCTATTTCTATCTGCATGAGATTAATTATGTTTAACATATTATCTAAGTTCCAATTAAATGAATATATGATGTAGATGCCTTCATTTTATAAATGTTGCTCATTTTAGTAGCTAAAGTATGTTGTGGATTACAGAATGTATCTTCAGTATTTTTATATACAATATTGAAATATTTTGTTCTCAATTTTCTGTTTCTTTGTGATATACAAAAAGATGAAATGTTAAATATAATTTATAATATTTGTTTTTATGATCTGATATAGCAGGTTTTCCAAGTATTTCATAATAGCTTATTGATGAACAACTTGTATAGTTATGGTAGATAGAACAAATGCGTTATTCAGTGCATAACAAAGCTCAATTGTATCTTTATTGTTTGGGTTTTTTTAAAATCATATTGATCTGCATAAAATGATAAGCATAATATTGTACCATAATTGTACCATATACTTTGCACTGAAAATTAAATGGAAGTCGATTTAAAAAATATTTATTTCATTTTAACATACATGAGAATCTTTTTGAATAGATAATGCTCTTCAGATAGACCAATATTAGCTGCTTCAATTTAGTAGAGGCTTAATGTATTGACTTCAAATGATGTATGTACATAAACCTACATAGAATTTTGCTACATGCAGAAAGGCGATTGATCCAATTACTAAAAATGTTGTGATATATAATTATAAATGATTCAGAATTTATGAACTGAATCCTGGCAACAGTGACTTATCCTTCTGACTTGCAGTTAGACTACTGGTCTAAATGAAGCTATATTTGAAATGATGTGGAAATTGTACATACAAATTGCAGTTGCCAAGATGTTAGTGGATGAGAGAAATTACCCTTATATAATAGTTGTCTTTTGGTGTCTTCACTGGATGCCAGTAGGTTTCTGAATACTAGCTTTGTCTAATAGTCCAGGGTATTTGAGAGAACATCTCCTTCTAATTTATTCTGCCCGTCAGATGCATATTTCCATGGTGAAGATGCTTAGGAACCTATACTTGAAAAGAGATCAAGGGAATCTGGGCCTGTAAGCAATTCTTCAGTATCATAGCAGTGATGGTATATAACATACTGTATTGTTCACATAGGTTCTCCTTATACTTTTTTTTTTTTTTTTTTTACTTCTCTACTTTTCTGCTATTTTGGGGATGGCTGACCAGGTAAAAAAGATCTTACCCCTAGGCTAACTATCATCTCGGTTTTTAACTTTTTATGCATTTTTTCTAATTTGTTTTTAGTACTTTTTACTTTTCATTATATTGTTAAACTGCCCAGAGTCATTGTATCAATGAGATGCACAGCATAGAAATGTAATAAAATAAATAAATAAATAAATATTTAATGTTATTTATTTCATAAAATTACAACTTTGGGGAAAGTTTACCAATAAGAGGACACGTGTAGCAGCTATTTTTATTGTTATACCTTAACTAGTATGTTACAACATTCATAAAACACTTTGAAATAATTAGTTGAGATGGAATAATTCATTTTCTCATTATAAAAATCTATAACCAACAATTAAATCAGTGAAGCCTTGGACTGAGGAGGCAAAGCTATAGCTACAGCTTGCTTTGACTGGAAAGTTTTTGAAGATACCTCTGCAGAGTTGGATGAATTCACAGATACTGTAACATTATGTGTTAATTTTTGCGAAGACCCATGTGTGCCAACCAGGAACTTGCGAATGTACAGTAACAATAAGCCTTGGTTCACAGCTAAACTCAAGCAACTACGTCGTGCCAAAGAGGAAGTCTACAGGAAAAAAAATAGAAAGTTATACAATCAGGCCAGAAATGTATTAACAAGGGAGATCAGAGCAGCAAAAAAGCTATTCTGAAAAGCTAAGAAATCAGTTGTCAACAAATAAACCAGCAAATATTTGGAAAACTCTCAAAAATATCACTGATTACAGGAAACCTCTCCATGCTGAAGGAAATTGACAACTGGCAGATGACCTGAATGTGTTTTACTGTAGGTTTGAGAGGAATCCACTGTCATCTATCTCCACTATCTCCATCTTAGATACACCAACAACAGCCATACCTCCTACAACTGACCCCATCTCCTTGGGTCCCCCACCTCTGGTGATCACAGAAAATGATGTGCATGGTCTATTTCACAGACAAAAGCCTGGAAAAGCAGCAGGCCCAGACAAGATAACTCCTTGCTTGAAAGCTTGTGCTGATCCATTGGTCCCCATCTTCACCTGCATCTTTAATAAATCACTAGAGATGTGCTATGTTCCTTCTTGCTTCAAAGGTTCTATCATCCCAGTGCCGAAGAAACCCTCCATCATAAAACCGAATGACTACAGACCGGTTACTCTGACATCCGTAGTTATGAAAACCTTTGAAAGGTTAGTGCTGGCCCACCTGAAAACTATCACAGATCCACTTTTAGACCCCTTGCAGTTTGCCTACCAAGCAAATAGGTCAGCAGATGATGCTGTTAATACGGCTCTGCACTATATTCTACCACATCTTGAATCTCCAAAGACCTATGCAAGGGTCCTATTTGTAGATTTCAGCTCGGCATTCAATACCATCATTCCAGATATTTTCACTAAATCAGCTAGCTGTGCCTGACCACATCTGTAAGTGGATCATAAGCTTTCTAACAGACAGAAGCAGCGAGTTAAGCTAGGCAAAATCACATCAGATACCTGTACAATTAGCACAGGTCTCCCCTTCTTCCCTCCACTTCTCTCTCTATACCAATGACTACATCTCAAAAGATCCCTCTGTTAAAGTATTGAAGTTTGCAGATGATACAACAGTGTTTGGCCTTATTAGAGAAAACAACGAATTAGCATAGAGAAGGGAGGTTGAATAACTAGCCTTGTGGCGTGGCCAGAACAATCTTGAACTGAACACACTTAAAACTGTAGAAATTATAGTAGATTTTAGGAGAAACCCTACTATACTATCACCTTTTACAATACTAGACAACACAGTATCAACAATAGAAACCTTCAAGTTTCTAAGCTCTATAATATTTCAAGATTTCAAATGGAAGCCTAACATCAACAGAGCACAACAAAGAATGTTCTTCCTGCACCAACTCAGAAAGCTCAGACTGCCCAAGGAGCTGCTGATACAGTTCTACAAAGGAATTATTGAGCCTGTCATTCACCTCTATAACTGTCTGTTTAGAACTGCAACCAAAGAAGACAGACATAGATTTCAAAGAATAGTTAGAACTGCAGAAAAAATAATTGCTATCTGCCTGCCTCTATACTGCCCGAAGAAGAAAGAGAGCTGTGAAACAACGTCAAACTCGCAACATCACGTGACGTGTTGTGACGTATTGCGACTTTTTTTCCATTGCAAACAATGGGGTGGACATGGTTTCAGCATGACGCATCCGGCCCATGGGTTGGCAGTTTGACACCCCTGCTATACGGAATTGCACACCAGAACAACTAGACATAAGGACAGTTTTTTCCCCATGCCATCACTCTGCTTAACAATTAATTCCTACAACACTGTCAAACTGCTTAGTAAAGCTGTATTACTGTGATACTCCTCATCTTTCCTATTACCTTTCCTTATCTTCTTAAGACTATAATTTTGTTGCTTGTATCTTACAATTTATATTGTTTTTTAGTATCCTAGTATGATTTATGTTGTTTGCTTAGCTAGTACTCTATGACTACCATTAAATGTTGCATCTTACGATTTATGATGAAGTGTTGTATTTTACGATTTATGATGAATGTATTTTCATGTTGTTTATGATCATGATTATCACTATTACTTGTATGTACACTGAGAGCTTATGCACAGGAGACAAATTCCTTGTATATCCAACCCACACTTGGCCAATAAGGAATTCTATTCTATACACTTTAAATAAAATTATATTCACTTTGTTATATACATGGAAACCTGAATACAACAACACTTTAGTGACAGCTTTGCTATAAGTAGTATATGAATAATGGAAGAATCTTAATCATGGATACCATGTAATTTATATTACTATATGTTTGCTTGTTAGTGTATGTAATATTGACATTGGATATTTTTTTGTTAGCAAACTTAACAGGCCACACAGAGAAGGTGGGCATCGAGAACTTTGAACTCCTGAAAATTCTTGGGACAGGAGGTATGCATTATTTTATATTGCTAAACATTCACCAAATAAAACATTCACCAAATAAAATTCTATTTTATAGATAAATATTTTGAGTGGCTGGGGTAGGTAGTTAGAGGTATCAATAGATCAAAGTTTCTTCCCAACTAAAACAATCAGGCAAAGAAATAAGTACAATTTCTTTATTATTTATTAGATTGCATTTTTCCTTTCAGTTAGGAACTCATGGCAGGTAAATTTTGCTCCCTCCTCCTAGTTTTCCATCACCCAATGAGCTTCCATAAATGAAGGGTGGTTAGAACAGAGGTCCCCAACCTTTTGGGCACCATGGATCGGTTCTGTGTAGAAAGGTTTTTCCACAGACCGGAGAGTGCGTGGGTTTGTGTGCTGCCTGCATCCCACGGATGGGGCTTTTTCTTTGGGTGGACCGGTTGCTGGCATGCTGCGGCCAGGTGCTGGTCCACAGTGGGTCTCCCCGCTCCAATTCCAACACTTAACTTCCAAGACCATTTCAGGCAACCCAAACCCATAGCTGCAAAGTCAAGACTGCAAAGACTGATTCAATTCAAAGAGTCCCGAAAAACATTCTAGGCAACTGGTAATAGAAACAGATGACTATAATTGTTGTTTTCAGCACTGGATCATTTCCATATACTTAGTTTTATATTCCATATTTCAAGTCTCTGCCATAATGCAGTTGGAGTCCAGTTGTTCAATTCAGAATTGTCTGATCAGGAGTAACAGTGACTGAACTATTCTCAAGAAGTGTTTTCCTGCAGTCTTGTGCTTCTTTGTTTCTCAGCCTTCTGGTTTGATCTGTTGCCATTCCTCTTGCAGATTTAAATAATCCAAAATCCTGACTGGGATTTGTGGCTTTGGTACTTGAGTTAAAGTTCTAAAAAAGTGCCCCCCAAGTCACAGCCGAGCAAGACACCTGCCTGTCCACCCGGCGGCGCTCTTCCTCCTGTCCGAGGCTTTCATTGTTGTGAGCATTTCTGTTGAGGATTAGCAGCAGGGCTGGGGTGGGGGGGTGTTTCGTTTTTATTCCCCCCGTCTGCTGGGTGGTTGCAGCAGGCTTTGGTCACTTCACATGACCCTGGGACACTGTGACCGTCATAAATATGAATCAGTTGCCAAGCATCTGAATGTAAATCACAAGACCCTGGAGATGCTGCAACATTCCAGCTGATCGGCGCGTCTTCTGGGATCAGCAGAAGTGCCAGGATCAGCGCCGAGCTCCAGCTGGAGCCTGGCGCTGATCCTGGCACTTCCGCTGAGCCCTGACAGCCCTGCAGCTCCAGTCATCTCTTGCTCAGGCTTGTGCAGTGCTGCCACCAGTTCAGCTCATTCCCCTCCCCCGCTACCACTTTTCTAGGTCGCGTACCACCTGCCAGGTGCCAATGTACCACAGGTGGTACCCATACCACTGGTTGAAAAGCCCTGCCCTAGTTCACAGCAATAAGTAGGTCTTTCAAATTGGTCATATTCTTATCAAGTTAGTAACTGAACACAATTGTGTTGGCCAAGATGCTTCCTGTTGCTTCCCGAACGTTACTAGTTAGTGGGGACTTCCCTGTTTTCTTGATGCTTATCTTAATGGCTTTTCAATGGTAGCTGTCATAACTCGAGGACTACCATTTTTATATGACTAAATTTGTCATTAGGAGGCAACTACTGTCTGGTGCCATTCATCCAGGCACTATGGCAGCTTCCATTGTAACATTCCTACACTGCTGCATGTAAAATAGTTCTGGGCTCAAAGTAAATCGCAGTGAACACGGGGATTTCCTTCTAAATAGACATGTGGCAGTTGAATTAGTGTAATTATTCAAATCTGAAACTACATGCAAACTAGTAAAGCATTATTGAATTATCCTATGCATAGTCAAATTCTGTTCAACTACTTTATTTTATTGTCATTCCATGAGGTATAAAAAGCAAAAGTAGCTACGAGAGGAAAACATTCAAAGAGCATCTAGAAAATATATGTTTTCTTTAAAAATGCTATGTGTCTGTTTTTCCAAGACATGTTGAATTAGCCAGTTGGTGGATTCAGAAAGGGAGGAAAAGGAATTGGTGTGTCTAATGTTCAAATGTGTACCTTAGATAAAGTGTGGGAGCAGATTTCTCTAAATTCTATATGAAAGAAAAAAAACCTATAATAATTGGTCTCCCAGCATTTTTTGAAATATAAAATCAAGTATCTTAAATAAAATACTCAGGTTCCTTGAAATATAAGCAAGAGATTGGTCTGGTAATATTTACTTTTAAAGATGGATATGATTGTATTAAATAAAAAGAATAATTATGAAATCCAAATCAAGTAGGTTGATTTTATCTGTACAATTGATACTGTTTTGAGATTTATTTTTATTACCTTTGTAAGCCTATTAGTATGCTTATTTTCTTGTTTTTCAGTTGCTCCATTTTAACTCTGATAACTTTCTTCTCCTTAGACTCTTGCTAAAGATTAGGATTTTACATTTTTGGGGGGGGCATAGCTTTCTTAAAATAATATTTAATGTGTTAATCAAATCAAGAAGATAAACAAATGACATTGGGTTTAAAGATTTATGTTGTTAAGCTTGTTATTGTGAAAGTACAGTAGCTTGATTTGAGCACTCTGTGCTGTGGAGGTGGAATTATGATGGGCTGGCTATTGCTATTTTACACCTGTGTGATATTTTTGGTTTTAGCTTATGGAAAGGTATTTCTGGTGAGGAAAATCAGTGGTCATGATGCTGGCAAATTGTATGCAATGAAGGTATTAAAAAAGGCAACAATAATTCAAAAATCCAAAACAACTGAACATACAAAGACTGAACGACAAGTACTAGAACACATTCGACAGTCTCCATTTTTGGTCACTTTGCATTACGCTTTCCAGACAGATACAAAACTTCATCTCATCTTAGGTAAGTGTAAAAAGGAAAGAACCATTGAAGAAAGGAAAAAATAAGGTCTATTTTCATTTGCTGTTCCAGTTAAGAAATTAGCTCCTCCCTCCCTCCCTTGTAATGGTATGTGATTCAGATATACACAACAGAACAGTTACTACAAAGAGTTATGCATCTACTACATAGGTCTAGATAGAGAATCAAAGAATACATTTATGCATATTTTTCCCTTTGAGAACCATCCATCCAATCTGCCATTGATTGTGTTAAATAATTATTTGTGCAATAATTATTTATCACCAAAAAGCCCAGCACTTGAATGAAACAAAATATAGCTGATTATGCTAAAATACATTTATTGAATGAATTGTCAATTGGCAGGAGTATTCATAACTTCTCAACTGAGTTGGGTAATAGTGCTACCCATCTTAAAATAAACAACTTTATTTTAGTAGATTAACTTGGGGAGAGATGTCTTATTACAGGTGGTACTCGATTTATGACCATAATGTGGACTGCTAAGCAATGTGGTCATTAAGTGAGTCATACCTGATTTTATGATCTTTTGTCATGGTCGTTAAGTGAATCCACAGCCATTAAGCGAATCCGGCTTCCCCCATTGAGTTTGCTTCTTGAAAGCCCCACCGAGAAAGTCACAAGTGGCAGTCACGTGACCCCAGGTTTCTGCAACCGTCATAAATACAAGCGCCCAAATTTAGATCATATAACTGCGGGAATGCTGTGATAGTCATAAGTGTACGGGTATTTTTCAGCATCATTGTAACTTGGAATGGACACTGAATGAATGGTTGTAAGTCAATTACTACCTGTATTCAAGAATGTTTGTTGAATCAAATAGATTTGTAAGCTTTTGTATCATTAGTGTGATAGCATCAAATCACGTACAGTAAGTAAATCACAGCAAAAATGTTGTATGCAATGCTCATTGCATTGTAGTCCAGTAAATTGAAGTTTTAATATATCTTTCATTTAATTTCCAATGTGAAATCAAACACCTGCAATTCTGTAACACTGTTATTGTTTTCCTTGTCCATGGTTAACTGAATCATGCAGGGGTATAAGGCAAGGTTTCTGGTCCTAAGGTAGACCTCCAGGTCAGTCTCCTTAATGATGAGACAGGGTGTGGCCATTGAGAGTGGGGGGGAGGAGGAGGCCATATAGTATTTACTTTCTGCTCTACAATAAGAGAGTCACAAGAGTCTGCCCTTCTCAGGGGCCATAAAGTGTTCCTTTTCTATTTTTGTTCAGTCACTAGACTCGGGATATTCTCCCCATATCATTCACAACATAGCCATAAGTGCTTGCTTATATCATCTCCCCTCAGACCCTCACTTACCAACTTGGCTCCTTTAAAATCTTTCTAATTTAGACATTCAATATCACATCCAGGCTGCAAAATTCTGGGCAAATTTTCCTGATTCAGTCCACTGTCTTCTATTAGACTTAATCTATCTCTCTTTGCTACTATCTATGGGAGTTTTGCAGTTCTGTAAGTCCTCAACTTATGATCACAACTGAGCCCAAAATTTTTGTTGCTAAGTGAGACAATTGTTAAGTTAGTTTTGCCCCGTTTTATAACCGTTTAAATGAATTGCTGCAGTTGTTAAGTTAGTAGCATGGGTGTTAAGTGAATCTGGATTCCCCATTGACTTTGCTTGTCATAAAGTCCCAAAAGGAGATCATGTAACCCTGGGACACTGAAACTGTCATAAATATGAACAAGTTGCCAAGCATTTGAATTTTCATCACGTGACCATGGGGATGCTGCGAAGTCACATTTTTCAGTGCTGCTGTAAGCTCAAATAGTCACTAAATGAATGTTTGTAAGTGAAAGACTACCTGTATGGTCTCTTTCCTTTATTTCTTTGTAATTTCTTGACTTTGCATAACAAATTGATTCATGAAATATTCATCCTGACAGAATCTGCTAACTACTGTAAGCACAGACTAGTGAACCTAATTTTAGCCTGGTGTAAACTACAGTTCCAGTGTTTGGTTTTTTAAAAAACTCTTTTAATTGTTATATTTTCTAGAGATAACTGTAACTATGTTGAGGGATTTTTTTAAAAAATATTTCAATTATTTGAAAACAGATCAACTCTGAGGGAGATAGGTGGTTTAGAAATAGGAAATATAAATAAATAGGTTAAAAAGTCAGCCTATAATTGAGACATTTATTATATTCATGTGAAAGTCCATAAATTTTCCAAAGGAAGTAATTGTGGCTAGTGATGAAAGCAAAAAAAAAAAAAAGTAACCACCAGTATATGTAACATTTGCTACTACATGGTATGAAATGTATTTTTGGAATTAATTCAGAAATTTTGCAGATCCCTAGTAAATAACTTGGTTTCCTGTATCTTAGATTACATAAATGGAGGAGAACTTTTTACCCATCTTTCACAAAGAGAGAGATTTAATGAAGATGAGGTACAGATATATATTGGGGAGATTGTTTTAGCACTGGAACACCTACACAAGGTGAGACAATATTTTCAACTTTTTTGAAATAAATTTATTGAAAGGAAAAATGTAAGTGAAATTAAAGTTAATTGTATGATGGTGTTTTCACTTTGGAGACACAAAAACCTGTATTTAACATTCACTATTGTATATGATAGTTTGTGGAATATGTTTACATGACATGGTTACCATGAATCATGATTTAGTCACAAACTCTTCAGTTGACACTTCCCCAGAAGTGATATGATTGTTATCCATCTACCCATGCTTTATTTTCAGGTACATTTATTGTGCAAGCTCAGTGCAATGCCTACTTCCACTTAGAATTATTAATGACATATTTTTCATAATTCTATACTGCTTTGGACCATAGAACCATAACAACCTTTTTTAATGCTAGTAATCAGGCAAAAAAAATTAAAAATATTATCTTCATTTTATATCGTTAACATGGGCGTTTCTTCTATTTAACATGGTGTATATTTGAAATATATGGTTAAATGCCAACATGTGAGAATATTTTAATAGACTCTGCTCAGTAGTGTACAAATATTTTTAATTTTTTCCAGTTGGGAATTATCTATCGTGACATAAAACTTGAAAATATTCTTCTTGATTCAGATGGACATGTAGTTTTGACAGACTTTGGACTGAGTAAGGAGTTTGTTAATGATGAAGTAAGTATCCACATATTAAGTGACTCTCTCAATAAGCCAGAAAATTCATGTATTGATTTTTTTTCTCAGTGAAACTCTTCTTTTTTCTATTGAGATGAGGTGGAGGGATCAGATTTACCCTGTGGGATAATTTGTCGAGAGAGAGAGAGAGAGATGTTTTAAAATAACCCTTTTTAATATACTAGTCTAAAAGATATTATATAGAGAGAGCCAAACATGTTTAAGAGGACAATTAATTAGAATGATGTAAATCCTAGTAATAAGTTTTATCATTGTTTTTTCCCTGTGATTGTGGTATCAGTGACTACATTGGCTATAATATTTTTTTTTTCAGAATGAAAGAGCTTATTCTTTTTGTGGAACCATAGAATATATGGCACCAGATATTGTCAGAGGAGGAGATACAGGACATGATAAAGTAGGTTATTGATGATAATGAATATACGCGAGAGCCAATTTGGTGTAGCAGTTAAGATCAGGAGGCTATGAGTTCTAGTTTTAATTTAGGTCAAATCAGCTGGATGGCATTGGGCTAGTCATTCTTGCTCAGCCTGAAGAAGTAGAAAAACTGTTTTAAGGACTAATAGCATTAGCTATAGCTCACATTTTATACATTACCTAGAACTAAGGAGAAATTTCCTGACAGTTAGAACAATTAATTAGTGGAACAACCTGCCTCCAGAAGTTGTGAATGCTCCAACACTGGAAGTTTTTAAGAAGAGACTGGACAACCATTTGTCTGAAATGGTATAAAGTTTCCTGCCTGAGCAGGGGGTTGGACTAGAAGACATCCAAGGTCCCTTCCAACTCTATTATTATTGCTGTTATTATTGTTATTGTTGTTATTATTATTTAAATTAACACCTTTTCATATAGTTCATATTTTTAAAAATAACTGCATAGTTTATTCTTATTTCCTAGAAGAATCACATTAATAATCTTCATTAGTACATATTTATTTTATAGGCTGTTGATTGGTGGAGTTTAGGTGTTCTGATGTATGAATTATTGACTGGAGCATCACCTTTTACAGTTGATGGGGAGAGAAATTCACAAACTGACATATCTAAGTAAGTTATCATTTCAAATGACTGAAAACTTAAGACATCAAAGGGTATCTGTTCTTGTATTTGTATATCAGGTTAATTTGATTCAATTGTTTTTAAAAGGATAAGATTGTGTTCCCCAAAATACACATAGGATGTTAGACCCATCTCTTGTCATTACTTATTCTGTTTATGTATTGTTAGATTCAGCAAAGATGGCATCCATCAGTTTATAAAATAAAAACAGTAAAAATACATTAACGCTGATAAAAGAATAATTCTAAAGGAGAAAATGTAATGGTAATTATACATTCCTTAAGGTCCTCCAGAACTACTGTCTTTAGGGCAGTGGTGGGATTCAAATACCCGAACAACCGGTTCTCTGCATGGATGCAGGCCTGGGCCTCCGAGGCCTAGACCAGACTTCCGGAAGTGACATCCATGCACTTCCTGTGGGCCATTCTAGGCCTGGGAGGCCTCCTCCAGGCCTCCGAGGCCTAGAACAGACTTCCAGAACTGACATACACAGGCCTAGAACTGACTTCCAGAAGCAACATGGGTTCAGCCGGTTCTCTGAACTCAACGACATTTAGCTACCGGTTCTCCTGAACCGGTGCAAACTGGCTGAATCCCACCACTGCTTTAGGGCTTTCTAATCAATAATTTCAAGGAAACTGTTCCATAAGACAGGAGGAACATTGGTTGCATTAGGGGCAAAAATGTCCTCTGTGATATGAAGCAGGCAGATCACCTATCATAGTCTTTCTCCTCCTTCTCTTCCTTTCTTTCCAGCCTCCACAGAGGCTCACACGTTGCCAGACGCCGGCAGTTCCAGGTTAAGGCTCTGCATCCGGCTTGAGTACTGTGTTCCCTTCTCAGGCCCTACCACGTGGCAGAGAGGGTGACCAGGAGCCGGCTGATGCTTGGCTTGTGCCACCGTGCGCTCCCATCCCCTTTCATTCCACAGGCCGGGCATGCCCTAGGGTAGTGATGGCGAACCTTTTAGAGATTGAGTGCCCAAACTGCAACCCAAAACCCACTTATGTATTGTCGGGTGCTGGCTGGGTGTGGCCTATTGGATGGGTGTGGCCCATTGGGTGGGCATGGCTGCAGTGGTAACGGCAGACTGGGTGGGACTAAAAAGTTCAATCAATCAATTCCAACTTTGTGAGATTTTTTTTTCCTGCGAGAAATTGAAATTGATTGATTAATTGAACCTTCTTTTTTTTTTTGCACACAGCGGCGGAGGCCTAAAGTGAAAAGGTTTTATAAAACCCAGTTGAAGGCCTAGGACTGAGGCGACGGCGCGCGTGCCCACAGAAACGGCTCTGCGTGCCACCTGTGGCACTCATGCCATAGGTTCACCACCACAGCCCTAGGGCACTAGGATTACAGAATGCCATGACCTGAGTGAGGAAAGGCACGGCCCAACAAAGCAGAGCCGGACGAGAGGCCCAGCAAAGTGGGGCGTGGCCCAGCATGATGGGGTTAGGCTGGGAGGAGAGGGGCGGGTGAAGCAAATGAGTTGCAGGTACGCACCACCAGCCCTCAAGCACTTGCCGATTCATGTGTGTGTGCCGGGGGACGCCCAGCCGGGTTGGGGTGGGCCAAGCTGGGGCACGGGGACCGGTCCCTTGCCATTCTGAGACAGCCCCAGGGGCCAAATCTGGGTCACAAGGTTTTTGTGCCTATTTTGCCATATTAAAAGAATAGAAACCTCCCTCCCTTCTTCGTACAGATCACATTGCCCAATTGCAAGTTAGGCAGTTGTTATGAGAGAATCCACAATCTTCAATAAACATATCTCCACATGTCCTTACTTGTCTAACGATCTAGCCGGCAGTTGCTAACGGCTCACATTCCATTCTCCCCCCCTTCCCGCAAGCTGTTGGCAAGCTGCGAAGCAGTTATGTCTGAACTAGCTTGGTCACTCTGCGAAGCTTGACATTTGGTTTGTTTGGGAGTTGAATTCAAAATACTAAAATTTTAAATGCTTCACAATTTAGGATCACAGTACAGTATACAGTAGCATGCCTTTTTCCTTCCTGCATATTTCTGCTTAAGCAGTACAGCCGTCTTTGGTGGCTTTGTTCTCTTGTTCCTGCAAGTAAGGGAGTGAGTACTAGGAGCAGACATGGAAATGTTTGCCTTAGACTAGGATATCTAACATTTCTTGATTGGCTTTGCTTTTCTTTCTTAGTAACAGAACAATTTCTTATTTACATGGCCTTTTATTTATTTTTTTCTAAATTTAGGCTTGCGGTTGTTTTATTTATGCTAGTTTATCTCTGCTTTTAAGTAACTGCTCTTTGATTGTTTTAAGTTACTGTTTTACTGTTTTAATTTTATTTAGAATAAATAATACAGTATATTTTAACTGCAGTTTGTTGCCTTGTTGTATATTTTTTTTCCAGCTGTTATTGCAGGGCAATGAATACATTTTAGTTAGTTTTAGAATTCCCAAAATCAGCAACTATCCTTTTACTTCAGGAGAATATTAAAAAGTGAACCTCCATATCCACAAGAAATGACTGCGTTAGCTAAAGATTTAATTCAGTGTCTTCTAATGAAAGATCCCAAGAAAAGATTGGGTTGTGGTTCAGGGAGTGCTGATGAAATCAAACAACATCCCTTCTTCAAGGTAAAATCAATTTTGTCTTTGTTATAAACTGCTCGTTTTTTTATTGGCTATTTTTGTAGATAATATGCAGCAGATACTAGAAATAAAGTTTTTTCAATAATATTACTGTAAGATTAAATCCCTGGAGAGAAACATCAGATTCCTTCTGTATTTAAGTGCCCTCTGAAACAGATTCACATATTTTAGCAGAACCTTGAATCTGAATTTGCTTAATTGTTCTAGTATAAAGTGCTGTAAGTTTTTCCTTTTTATATTTTAAGGACATTTTAATTATGGTTAAATCATTTCACAGTTTGGCAGGTAATAAAAGACAGCACATTGCCTCTGCCATCCCCTTTACCATTTAGGCTTTAGAGCTGGTGGGGAACACTTAACAAATAGAGGGCCACCATTTTCTAAGAACATTTATCTCAAATTTACAAATTTACAAATGAAGCTTTTGCATTGCTGGATGGGGCACAAGCCTGATAATCTCAAAAGGTGTACTTTTGTGCATTGCTCCTACCTGTGTAGGAGCCATATTCAATGCAGGATATGACTGTAATCAGTCAATAAATAATGCCTCCTTACTTTTTCAAAAATATATGAATAATTATTTGTCATTCATTAAGCAGTTTCTTTGAATGGTGATCATGATGAACCATTCAGCAATTTATCCTTAAGTATATTTGCCAATAATACAGGTAGTCCTCGACTTACGACCACAATTGAGCCCAAAATCTTTGTTGCTAAGTGAGAGAATTGTTAAATGAATTTTGCCCCATTTTATGACCTTTCTTGCCACAGTTGTTAAGTGAATCACTGCAATTGCTAAGTTAGTAACACAGTTGTTAAGTGAATCTGGCTTCTAGATAGACTTGCTTGTCAGGTCGCAAATATGATCACATGATCCCGTGACACTGCAACTGTCATAAATATGAGTCAGTTGCAAAGCAGCCAAATTTTTATCACATGACCATGGGGAAATTGCAATGGTTGCAAGTGTGTAAAACGGTCATAAGTCATTTTTTTCCAGTCCTGTTGTAACTTCAAATAGTCACTGAATGAACTGTTGTAAGTTGAGGACTACCTGTAAATCTTAATTAATTCTACAATCCGACGCATCAAATAAGTCCAATTATATTTGAATAGATGTAAATGGGAAGCTGACATGATCTATTTTCTCTGAACAATGTATATTGACAACTGAAACAATTACCTTTTTGTCTGCTCATTCTTTTCTATGTTTAATTTAATATATTGGTTCAGAAAATAAATTGGAATGACTTGGCTGCCAAAAAAGTGTCTGCTCCATTTAAACCAATAATTCGTGATGAGTTGGATGTTAGTAATTTTGCAGAGGAGTTTACAGAAATGGATCCAACATATTCTCCAGCAACAACTTCAGAGGCTGCGGACAAGCTATTCCAGGTAACTGGAAAATTCCAGCCATATAATAATATTACTAAAGTTTTGTGGAGAGATAATTTACAGATTAAATAAGACCATCCATCCATCCTATTATTAAAATGATTGAAGTGACTGGCAACTGGAGTTTTGGAAGAGATATATTAAAACTAGTATAGACAAGCACCGTATTAAAATGAGTATATACAAGAACACTAAATAATCACTGCTATGTCAGATATAGTTATCCTTTAGAGAAGAGTGTGTCTAAAGGATATGTATCAATAGCAAAGTGAAGCTACATCAATATTGGAAACTGTGCACTTACATACCTGCATCCTAATGTCTCGGATAAATATGTATGTTGTGGATTTTGCATGTTTCATCACTTGCATTCCCATACAGAATTCTATTCCAGTATTAAGAGAAAGTCTTTTTTAAAAAGTAGGTTTCTTTGGGGCATATTAAATATAACTGGCACATAATAGATTGCAAAGAGATATAAAATAATGAAATGTCATCTAATATTATTTGTGACCCAACAGCTGAAATTAGTGATTGATTAGTTTGATTGAAACAAGTGATTGATTACATACAAAGAAAAAAATTGAAAAGAAACTTAATATTAGGTTTTTGATTTTCCAGACATTTCCCTTACAAAAAATAATATTTCAGAAATTGAGATTCCATTATTGATAAATGATTTAAATCTGTAGTGTTATAAGCTTCAGAATAAAATAAGAAAAATAGCTTGTGCATCTAATCTTTGCAAATTTAAAATCGTAACAAGGTTTGGGAAAACTTGCTTATGGGCTGATTAATGCACTAGGGAGATTCCATGGCCTCTCAGGGGAAGGAAAATTATTTTGTTTTCTCTATGGTTGGTGTTGTTTTGCCTGCAGAGAGGATAAACTGAGGAATACAAGATGAAATTGTAATGAGACAGTTGTGGAAAGAAGAACAGGTAGAAGATTGGACATAGAATGCTTGCAAAATAAGGCAGAAATGTAGAAACAGGCTGGGAAGTATAAATTGTCATCTGTCAGTGGCATAGGAGGGTTTAGGGACAGGTAATACAAATTGTATAGAGATAGGAAGTAAAAGATAATAGTAAGATAAAGGAAACATCCAGAAATGCTAGTTGGACTTGAAAAGTATATTGCTTATAAGTGCCAGACGTGAAAAGCATATCGTTTGTAGGTGATAGAGTAGCTATAGAAATACCAACCAGTTCTTGTTTAAATTAATGCTTGTTCTAGGCCATATATACTCGATAGCTCTGAGAATCTAATTGTGGAGGGCACTGGAAACAATTTAAATATTGTATCCACAAAGTTAAAAAAACACCAGGTGAAATATAAAATAAATCATGTAAGCAGTTATGACTATATTGCTATACTTAAACATACTATAAACCTATTTTGGATATAATTATTATAAAACGGGCAAATCAGTCGGGTTTATTTAAAAATAAACTGAAGTGAGTGTAGCAAGATTAAGTCAATACACGTAGTCCTTGGCTTACAACAGTTTGTTTAATGATTATTCAAAGTTACAACAGCACTGAAAATAGGGGCTTATGACCGTTTTTCACACTTATGACTATTGCAGCATCCCCATGATCAAAATTCGGATGCTTGGCAACAGGCTCATATTTATGACAATTGCAGTATCCTGAGGTCACTTTTGCGACCTTCTGACAAGCAAAGTCAATGGGGACCAGATTCACTTAATAACTGTTACTAACTTAACAATGCAAATTGAAATAAATAAAATGCAGAGGCTCAGGTACTGGAAAATGAACATTTTACACAACTTACAAGAAGGACCCGCACAATTATCCATAAACTTCTCTGTGCAATTCAAAGGACTGGTTTTGATAAATATACTCCTCTATGTCTTGGCATTGAAGTATCTCCAGGACTGCTTATCTAGCCTGAATAATAAACTCTTGATAATTCTACTTTTCAGTGAGATAGTGTGTGGGGTTCAAATCGGGAGGCAGTGTTGTTCTACCACAACACCAACTTGAAGGGACAGGCTCCCTTTGCCTATTACAGTGGTTCTCAACCTTTTTAATGCCGCGACCCCAACCGGTCGTAAGTCGAGGACTAAACCGGTCATAAGTCGTGGACTAAACCGGTCGTAAGTCGAGGACTAAACCGGTCGTAAGTCAAGGACTACCCAACCGGTCGTAAGTCGAGGACTTTCCCTGCCCGGGAGCGCTGCGCATGCGTGGTCCCGCCCCCTGCGCCGGCCGAGGCGTAGCTGGCAAGCGGCAGAGACGGAGCAGGCCGACCACCAGCTGGCCCAGCCCAAGGGAGGTAAGGCACCCGCCGGAAAAGGGGAAAAAAATGGCGGACAAAAAAAATGGCGGACAAAAAAAATGGTGGACAGCCTTGCTTGGCGACCCCCGTGAAATGGTCGATCGACCCCAAATGGGGTCCCGACCCACAGGTTGAGAACCACTGGCCTATTAGATTAGAAGCCATTGTAATTGCCTTCTGGAAAGCATTACAGACTGAGATATTCCATAAAGCCGCCCTGAGTCCGCAAGGAGAAGGGCGGGGTAAAAATTCAATTAAATAAAATAAATAAATAAATAAATAAATAAATTTGAATGCTGTATTGCTGCTACTGTTCTGTTAATTGTCATCTGAAAGATGTAATTTAACTATCATGAGGTTGTATAACAGAGACTATGAAAGTATTTTACTTTCATTATATTATACGGTGTATGTTTTACTGCTTATTGTTTATGGAGGATAATTTAATGTTTTATGTTTATTATGGGTGTTTTATTGTCAGTAGTGTTACCTGTATTATGGATGTGGTAATTGTTGCAAATTGCCAATAATTGAATAAAATGTGATAAGTAAATCCATATAAATAAGTAAGTTATAGATGTTTTGTGCTTTTAAAATGGAATATTTCGAAACCTTTCATTATATTTGTATATTTTGTATTAATCGCCTTCCCCTCACATACCTCTTTCTCATGATCATTTTGAAGCTTTCTTGTACAATAAAAAATACAAACATATGTGTATAGTGCAGGAGATTACTAGGAATTTCTTTTTTGTTAAGAGGAAGAAAGGAATCTTGTTCATTCACCCATTGAAATTTGTGCATGGGAAAATGAGCTGGGTTAATGGCCAGGTTGAAGTAATAGCAAGTAAGCACTAATCAGTTAATTGTTCTCCATGCACGTTATAGCAAAATTTAGACATTGAAATAAATTGATTGGGCATATTTTCCATACTCCTTCTCCAGCATAGTTTATCATCCCTTCTGAACTCAATAAATTGTGGTTAGTTTTATTTTTAAATATAGCAATTTCATACCATGATTATGAAATGACTCCTTCAAATGAAATATATACCATGGATTAGGATTCAGAAAATTCACTATTTTGCAGATAATGTAAAATGGAAATGATTGTTTTCTATTTTCTTCTCATATTACATACCAGAGAAGGGAAGTGGAAAGATTAGGACTCTGGAGGTGGCTAGAGCTCTTCCTGACCATAAGATGGTTAATTGGGATGTTACCAATTAAAGCAAAGCCAAACAATCATTTTTTAAAACCATTTCAGCTTGCTTACTTCTCATGACAAATTGATGCTGCCTTCTCTGATCAATCAAGATTGGCTACCTCCTCGGCCATTTGGAACATACCGTTTACCATTTCCACACAGACTCATTATTTTGCAAATGCCATTCTTTGAACCAGCAGCTATAAAAATATATCGATTTAGACCAATTTTACTCTATTTATTTATACTACACAGGTTTAATCTATTAGCAGTCATTTACAAAGTCTATGTCTTCTCATAGAATATATTGCAGAATAAGTTGGTGCTAATAATATTTAGTTCCTTTACTTCCAAAATAATTGATCAGTTGCATTTTAACAGGCTGTCTGAAGACACATATATAAATATATTTTGATGCATAGACTAGTATTTTAAAATTTTTAATTTTGTGTATCAGAAGATAATGTCTTTCAAGCAAGTTTTTCTGTGATTATATAATGTTGTATTATTTCCTTCAACTGAGTGGAGTGTTCAAACAGTGATTGTTATTTTTTTCCAAGTATGATTAACCTAATATTGACATTAGAGCTAAAATTAGATAATTTAAAATTTTGCACATAACTGATGTTTGGTTTCTTTATCGTTTAGGGATATTCTTTTGTTGCTCCTTCCATCTTATTCAAACACAATGCAGCCATTATGGATCCAGTTTGTTTTCTGACAAAACATAGCCAACCTGGAGTTACAAATATTGCGAGAAGTGCTATGATGAAGGTAGTCGTAACCATTAACCATTCAAGCATATAAAATAATTCTCTAGTACATAACATATTTTAATGTGAAATATAAAACTTAATAGTTTTCTTTGCTGTGATACAAGAATATCTTATAATTTGGGCTTCTTTTGCTAATAACCTAGTAAGCAATGGATTTTTTTTTAAAGTAACAGTAAAACTCTTATATCCTGCTTATTAGCTGACATTTGACATAGGTTCATTTAGTTAGCTGATGTAAGGCATAGAATACTGTATTAAGCTTTATCCAGGTCTATCAGGGAAGTTCTTACGTGCATGTTTTCATACCACTTAGAATAAGCTTAGTCTAGAAAGCGCTGCAGATTTGCTTATATATTCTTGAACAAATACAGAAACATACACATATAGTAATATAAACAGTGTCATGGGCATACATGGACACAGTAATATACCTGGCCTCGGCTAATACTACTTGAAGCATTGATGAATAAGCAACTTGTTAATAATAAGTTTTTTTCTTAGCCCAAACTATCTGGTAATGAAGTTCCTTTTGCACATGCCATTTAAGTGTATATGCTTATGGTTGTCTATTTTTTATTTTATTCAGTAACTGTTAATAAATAAAATAAAGTATTTCATTTCAGGACTCTCCATTTTATCTCCACTATGAGCTGGACTTAAAAGAAAAACCACTGGGAGAAGGTAGTTTTTCCATCTGTCGAAAATGCTTACACAAGAAAACTAGACGTGAATATGCAGTAAAAATAATCAGTAAAAGGTATAAAAACAACCAATACATTATTTATTTTTTAAAAAATAGTGTTAATTTCTACAAAAGCCTGCAATTTAAATATTCTCTGAACAGCTTAAGATGTTCAGGACAGCACAGTAGCAAAATTAAAATTATAACATTTTGGATGAAATCCTGAGGCAGTGGAATCATTATAATTTTACAGTAAAATGTCTGGGAAAATAAGAAGCATGGTAAAAAAAAAACCCATAGTGGCTAGGTATGTCCTCCTGGGAAAGTGGTATATTCTCTTTCCTTTTTTTTATCTCATTATGTTAAAGTTCGGATCTCCTATTTTTTATTTTCTTTCTAAACTTTGCTCGGTCTAAAAGGGAGCAGCATGATGATTATATATGTTTATCTATATTTTTATATAAGCTGCCATTCACCTCCATTCTGAGGGAAAATTATTTGTTAACAACGTAAATGCTTTAAAAGATTATGTTTAGTTGAAACAAACAACTCTCTTACATAAAAATATTGAAACATTTTAAATACTTACAGCACATACTTCAACCCTTGAGTCATCAAGGCCATTCAACTGCTCAATGAATAAAGGAAACTGATCCATTTAGTGATGGAAAGCCTGTCTTCTTATTTGGTTATTGGTTTCACTGTGAAGCTGCTCTTATTCTTAGGAGGTTTTTTCCTAATAAGTTACAGGAAGGAATATTCTGATTAAGTGTTGCATTCTAAGATAGTAGAAAATAGTTTTTAGGGTTTTTTTTTGTGTGACATCCCTTCAGATGATTCAAGAGTCATGTATTCTGACCCATCAGTCTTCTGTTTTGAGCACTGAACACATCTAGTTTGTGTCTACAGATAGTTAATATCTTCTTATTTCTATTTTTATATTTTGGGGGTGAAATCCTTTTTAAATATTGTCTTTTGAGCTGAAATTAGTACTCAGTGTAGGATCTGTCCAACAAAGAATAGACTACACACTTTCTGATAAAGATAAGAAATGGAAACAGTTCTTACCCTCAATCATACAATGTGAAGAATACAAAGGTACAAGTTCTTAATGTTACAAGGATCTTAATCTTCTCCTTTGTCAGGTTGAAAACTGTTGGATAATCATTACATTAGGACGTGGGTTTTAAGGCACATTGTTTACATCTAAGGAAATATTTTAATAAAACTTTGCAGTCTAATTTATAAAGATAGCATTGTCAAATCAGAAGTTTGTTTTATCATAATATTCACTGACTTAATTTTTCAGGCTAGAAGTCAACACTCAGAGAGAAATTACAGCTTTAAAACTCTGCGAAGGACATCCCAATGTTGTAAAATTGCATGAAATTTATCACGATCAGGTATTGCAATATGCTTTGCTTTCTGTATTTTTGCTCTGCCTAATCTTTAGAAAGCAAGCAAGAAAGGGTGGTGTGAATATTAGAAACATGCTAAATGAAAATGAAAGGAACACAAGACAGTATATAGAAGGATTTTACTGTTAGTTTTTTCTGTTACAAGCTATGGAAACATTTTAACTTTCAAATCTTCTTTCCTTTCACCTCTTCAGTTAAATTAATTATTGTTCTATATTGTGTTGGGAGGCACTAATAGACTCTGCCAGAACAGCTACTCTGTTAAGAAATAAATATATTTATTATAGTGTAAAGCTATTGTGGACTTACCTACCATAGAAGATGCTATTATATATCTTAATTAAAAAAAATTAAAAAAACTATTTTACAAGCTAGAGAAGGGAAAAACTGCAAACATCCTTACTTATTTACTAAATTAACCTTTACTTATATTCTGTATTTATTTCCATGCTAAGTTATACATTAAATAATTAAATTTAAGTCAGCTCATTTCATGAGAAAAAATGAGAAATGGGGAAAGATGTTTTTTCTATTATGCAGTGTCTACTTCTTTGTGTCTCTCTGTCTGTTTATCTATACTCATGCATACACACGCCTTTATATAGAGAATGTACCAAAAGTCTATTAACTATTAATTAATAGTTAATAAAGAGAATGTACCAAGTCTATTAACTATTAATTAATAGTTAACAAAGCATGTTGTGATTGGCCAATCACAACATGCTTTATTAACTATTTTTTTTTCAGAGAAATTGTTATTGTACTTAGGAATGTTCAACTATCATATGTCAAATAAGTAAGAAAGTATTTAAAAGAAAATAGCAACTTTTTTGAACATTTAGTGTAATTTATATTTATATAGGGCTTGACTTTTGGTATAGTACATGCGCGCGCGCGCGCACACACACACACACACACAAATAAAGAAAGAGAACAAAATACATTTCTGTTGATCCTGTTAGTTTCTAACTATTAGTAAATTATTTAAATAAACTTAATACTTACAAAAAATGTGGAAACTTTTAGAGTAAAATTGTATGTGAAATATTTTCTATCCCAGAAAGAACCTCACTATATGAATTAACATTGCTTTGAGCACTATATCTCCAACAACTAATTGAACCCTAACTTATTTTTTTCTAAAAGTACATATAGCTATCCAGAAGATGCAAAATAATATTTTGTTGTGGGGATTATTTATTTATTGCATGTGTACATTGCTAATTCAACAAAATGACTCAGAAGAGTTGTCAATAAAAGACCCACAAAAAGATTAGAATAAATGTTTTATTCCCAAATTTGATCAACACTTTACTTGTCAGAGAGAAGCCAGTTGGGGCCAGTCTGATGAAAGGTGTGATAGCCAGTATAAATTCAACCCCTTTCTCAATTCTGGATAGAAATATTCTAGTATTTAGCAATGTGGGCCTGCCTTTTTCATCCTAACTATTAAAGTCTTGTTATATTCATTGTCTAATAATACTATATAAAAAGTGAAATAAAAATCCCTCTTGTATTTTCAGAGGAATTCTAATTTATGGTAAATGATCTTGAAGGGAAAGAAAGGAAAACTTAAATATCAGCATTTAGGCTTTGGCTGTACCCAATGAAATAATTATAGGAGGATCTTCTTTAGCATTATTTAAACTACAGGGTTTACTAATTTCAAAATATTAACCTTTTATATAGAACAGCGAAATGCTGTTTAATCAGGATATATCAACTTCTTTCCAGGGTTAGTTAGCAAATAACCCAAAACATATCAAATTCTCAGTTGTTGGAACTCAGAGTATGTGATGAGATGCTTACTTGCTCGGTGGGATTTCATTTTTGGAGCTAAACTGCCAGAACAAATTTTGTGGGTTCTTCTAAAACTCAGGAGGGTGTCATAGAAGAATCATTTTGATGGTGGAATCTAATTTGACTCCTGCAGTGTCAAATCACTGCAGTGATTCACTTAACAACTGTGGCAAGAAAGGTTGTAAAATTACAATATATTACAATTACCATATATCAGTTGAATTACAATATATCAGTTGAAAGAATTTTCAGAGCTGTATTTATATTTTAATTGAATAGTAAATCTGTCCAACTAATTATTTCTCTTCTACATTTAGAAATACATTTTTCTAAAAATTGTATTTGTTTTTAGCTCCACACGTTTCTAGTAATGGAACTACTGAAAGGGGGAGAATTACTTGAACGCATCCAGAAAAAGAAGTACTTCAGTGAAACTGAAGCTAGTTATATCATGCGCAGATTAGTTTCTGCAGTGAGCCATATGCATGATGTGGGAGTAGTACACAGAGATTTAAAACCTGAGGTATGAATTTAGGAAATGTGTGAAGCCTATGAAGTCTGACCATTCTCACCTTTCTTATTAATTCTTTTATTCTCCTTTACTTTGTTATGGCTGTATTTTTTTAATAATTGATATAAATAAAAACATAATAAAATATTTATAAAAATCTTAAGATAGGGATAAGTTATCTATCAATAGTAAGGTGATATTTTCTCATAAGAGATACATAACCTGTGAGTTAGGAGAGGTGTCATTTAGTCAATTGCCTACTGTCCTGTCCTATAATACAGGCATTCCTCAACTTACAACAGTTTATTTAGTGACCATTCAGAGTTACAATGGCACTGAAAAAAGTGACCCTTATGACTGTTTTTCACACTTACGACTATTGCAGCATGCTCAAAATTCAGATGCTTGGCAACTGACTCATATTTATGATGGGTTACAGTGTCTGACAGTCATGGAATGGAGACGCCACATTCACTTAACAACCTTGTCACTAACTTAACTGCAGTGATTCACTTAACAACTGTGGCAAGAAAGATTGTAAAATGGAGCAAAATTCACTTAACAAATGTCTCACTTAATAACAGAAATTTTGATCGTAAGTTGAGGACTACTTGTATAACCTTCTTTGTATTTGTATTAGTTTTATTTGTTAAATTGAGTCTATTATGCATGCATTGTTTTCCGGCTTAATGTTAGAACTACACAGCTTATGTTCTAAGTTAGTAAATTTCACTTCACTGGAATTGTGGGAAGAGGAGAAATTGAAACACACCATTCTGCTAATGGAAGATTTCTGTATGTAGAAGAAAATTACCGTATTTATCGGCGTATAACACGCACAGGTGTATAACACGCACCTTCATTTTAAGAGGGAAATTTCAGGAAAAAAACTTAAAAACATGGCTTCTTAACATTATATCGGCGTATAACACGCACACATCATTTGCCCCCTATTTTCAGGGGGAAAAAGTGCGTGTTATACGCCGATAAATACGGTATTTGAAATCATCCTATAAGAAAAACTATGCTTAGGCAAGGATTTAATGGGTGCAGAGTAAGGAAGATGATTTTGACAGCAATATGTAAGAGCTCATGTTATTATTATTTTTTAACCTGCCCTTTCCCCCATTATCTAGTGAAAGAGGCTGAGTCCAGAGAAATGAGATAACATTAGGAAGAAAGGGCAGGAGTTTTAGCCTTCCTGTGGAGTTCATTTCCTGATCTGTTCTGTAATGCTGAAGGGCTAACAAATTAAATTGAAATAGAAGATACTGCTTCGAATAAACATTTGAGTGTATAGATCTCAGTTGTTCTTAAGAAGCTATTAAATAAATCCAATAATTTTGTATGATTTTTTTCAGTGCTTATTTGCATAGACAGTGTCTTCTACTCATTAAAGCAGATTTTTTCAGCCTTCCATATAAGCATGAAAAAAACTGATGCTGCATTAAGAGTTGCATTAACTTTTGATGAGTGTATTTCTTAACGCTGTATTTGTTCCTGTGAAAATCTGAAAAAATTACTAGCTAGTTTAGTGAGTACTTGAGAGGTGAGGTCTGAGGCACTTTATTAAATCATTTTTTTAAGCATGCCCTGCCCTACTTTTCACTACACTGGTCGTCCTCATTTGACAATGGAAATCTATCACTAAGAGATGTACTTGGAAAGTGCAGTGTCACATGACCATATGACTTATGATGGCATTTGCAGCAGTTTCAGATGCTGTTGTTAGGTGAATCCCACATGGCCCTGGCATCCTGTAGTCTTATTATCACCATTTGTGGTTGATTTTGCTTAATGGAAGGTGGCAGTGAAGATTGCAAATGGCAAACACATGACAATAGAGCACTGTGCCCAAATGATGATCATGTGATGCAATGATTACAACTATGATGAACAGCCATAAGTCTCCTTGTTTAATGCCATCATAACTTCAAATGATTGCTAAATGAGTGGTCTTTGAATGATGTATTGCTTTAGTTGTTTTTTTTTTATTCTTGATGATTAGGCTTTTAGAGAAAAGATTTCCTGAATGTGTAAGATATAACAAAGAGTTATCTTTTGTCATCAGTAAAAAAAAAATCATTTCAGCATTCTTGCTATTATGAGAAATTAACTCTACTTCTCTAATACTTTTTTTTAGAATTTATTATTCACAGATGAAAGTGATAATTCAGAAATAAAAATAATTGATTTTGGATTTGCCCGATTAAAACCTTCAGACAATCAGCCTCTTAGAACTCCATGTTTTACCCTTCATTATGCTGCTCCAGAGCTCTTAAACCATAATGGTTATGATGAATCCTGTGACCTCTGGAGTTTGGGAGTTATTTTGGTAAGCATTTTTGGCATTTTTAAAGAAGTATCCAAGCATGGGTGATAACAATATTAATGAAAAAAGTTAATTATATTTGATGTATATAAATGCTCAACATTAATGTTGAGCAGAATATGAAATATTTCATTAGATGTAGCAGAAAAGACTAAGAAAATGAACTGCAATTCAACTGGCTAAAATCTACAACCTTTATAGAAACAAAAACTGTATCCAGCAAAATTATAATTGAAAACAAGGTCAAGTATTATAAAAATTAACCACCTGTCAGATACAAAAACATTTAGACTAACTGCCTAGTAAGTAAGATGCCTGAAAATAATAGAATTAAACATATTTATCATAATAAATTTAGTGGGGTTTTTTGCATTGGTTGCTAGGGAAAATAGGGAAACAATTCTGATTTCACTTGAATTAGATCATAAGACTGGTGATGTATTTTGACCATGATTAATCCTTTAATTCAGTCAAATTTGTAATCAGTGACATAGTCTTATTTACAATTAAATTTGTTTAAGTATACTATCTTTGGGTACAGATCTCTTGGCAATGATTGAGAGGAAGCATATTTTGTCTGGATAGTCCATTGTTACAATTATAATAGCAGAGGTGAAGGACCAATGGCATTTTACTTAATCGCTTTTTATAAAAGATTAGAGTTTAATAAGATTATACTCTTTCTTATGAAACAAGTTGACTGAAGCAATTATACTCTAACTTATGAAAACATTACTTTATTTATACTGCAGATAATCCTTGCTTAATAACTGGTTGGTTGTGATGTTCAATGTTACGACAGACGTCTCCCGCCTCAAAATCTTTTTGAAGTTCTGAAACTGTACTCCCTTCATGGTCATGTGATCACATTTTGGGCGCTTGGTAACTGGCTCTTATTTTAGGGCAGCATCCTGTGGTCATGTAACCATGATTTCCAGCAAAAGTTGGCCATTGGCTATAACGAATTTGTTTATTTATTTATTTATTTATTATTTATTAATAAGACTTATATGCCGCCCTTCTCCCCCATGGGACTCAGGGCGGCTCACAGCATATTAAAAAACAATACAAACATTTCCCTATAAAAGCCAATTAAAAACCAAATATTTGTAGCTGTGTCTTGTTTAAAATCATTAAAAATTGTCCCTATTTAAAAATTCACCCTAGGTCAGTCCCGCTTGCTGAAAAAGCCATGTCTTGAGGGCGCGGCGGAAGGTTAAGAGATCCGGAATCATCCGAATCTCGGGGGGTAGTTCGTTCCAGAGGGT